GAACCCAGGGAAGAATTGTGATCCAAGTCCAACAGAAGTGACACAGATGGTCAAATATCTGATGGCAATCGTTTCGTCTCTTCTCTTTCCAAATATTCGCTCGTTGGTTGAGTCTTAACTTGTTTCTCTAAATCGTGGCTATGTGTAAATGAACATGACAGAACCTAGGTCTGCCTGGGCAATTTATTTTCTAAAAGAATCAAGTTGGAAAGAAGAGACTCTGGAGGTCATAGGTCACCTGTGAAAAATCCTGACCTTTAAGAGCGAGGGTTCATGAAGCAGATCTTTGGATTTGGCAGCTTGAGGTCTTCTGTTCGCAGATGGAGTTCTGTACCAGTGTGCCCACCCAACACCTGGTTGCTTGTCTCTTTGTGCGGCCATGTGCCTTCTTCCTGCCCCATCATCCAGACTGTACCCTACCATCAGCTGATGAGTGACACCACTGGCTCCAGTCTCTTTGCTAAAATTGTGTGATCATCCTTAAGAAAACAGACAGATGATTCCATCCATTTCTTTCTCTAAATATACGTATCTCAACTCATCGATGTGGAGGCTACTCTATGGGTTAATGTCCTGCAGATGTTCATGGTTCCCAGAGGATGAATTCTAATGACTTCAATGATCCTTGAACTTTACTCCAGAGCACTGCAGGGAGCTATTGTCAGTTTACTGGTTTATGACTAAATAGGTGCAAACCTTTTATTGGCTTTTCAGACAGTCTGGTAGCGTTGGCCTCAGCTGCTTTATCACACACGACATTCAAACATTGTTAAATATATAAAGAAAAGTGGCTGCAGTTAAGGTTAAAGACGACAATTAGGAAAATGTTGAAGCTTTTTAGGGCGAGTGTCCACTGCACGAACTCCGGAACTGGAGAAACAAATGTGACCAAGTTACCTTTGTTGGGTTGGAGACATTACAGCTTCCACTTTAGAGTTATTTCTGTTTTTATATGTTTTATTCTTTGAATATGACTAAGAACTATTTTTAATCCACAGGGATTTCATTGGATTTTCATTACATACAAGCAGCCATTGAAAATAGAGGTTTTAGGTTATTGAAAAACAGCATAATTGTATTGGATCTTTTTTAATTGTTTTGAATGTTATTGATATAAACTACTGCAGTTCTTCTCACAGCCCAACACCCATGTAGTGAAATCCAAGCCCTGAACCTAAACCACTAAAATATCCATTGCTACATGTTCTTGATCACATCTGGCCCGTCCTACCAGCAGAAGGCCTCCCTGCTCTGAGCCAGAGGTCGACCAATAAAACCACTGTCCCACCTGGTGTCCTCGTACAGACGAACACAGTCTGTAACGTGAACATCTGTGTGTTGATGTAAATACACCATCAAACAGCGGCAGCAGTGAGTCAGTGTCACAGGGTTGATTGGCTGTACAGGAATTTGTGTTTCATCAGCAGCGGACGCGTTCACCCTGCAGTCAGTTCCGTGCTCTCTTAAATACCACACACCTAAGACAGCGTCACATGAAGAGGTATAAACAGTGTGGACGTGTTAAAGCAGCCACGGACTAGAAAACTGTCAGTGACTCCCTCTGTTTATTTGCTGATTTTCCTCAAGCAGAAATATCAATCTCCGGTTCTTTGTGAGCTTGGATCTGCTCGGCAGAATAAACACTGCTCTGCTCCATTTTTCCACCGTTTTTCCACCTAAACTGTTACACAGCAGGGGGCCCTGTTCTGAAATCTAAACCCGCAATAAACCTGAAATGTTTTTTTTCCTGACAGAACTCCATATACATAAATTTATACAAGCCAACAAATGGAAGAAGAGAAAACATTCTGGAAAATGGATTACATTCCATGTGTTAGAAAAGTTGGTGCAGTTTGCCAAATGGCTTAAAATGAATAATTGCTCTACTTTAAAACATACTTTTTGTATCTGTGTCTGTATTATTTTACAGTCCTGGAAAGAAACATGAAGAGAAGTTCCTGTGAAGAAGAGCAGTGAAGAGAGGTACTCCACACAGTTACACTTCAGTTACAACCCAGAGAAGGTGTCTTTAGTTTGGTCTTTGCAGCAAAGACAGTCAGAGATGACCATCACTACACACACACTCACAGACTTTTACCTTTACTCCTCTCTGGCTCTGTGCCTGCTCACATTTATTCCCATCTGCATTGAGTTTCTTTTTCACAGAGGGATCACCTGTCAGCGCTAAACCAGTCACAGAGAAGAAGAAGTAGCAGTGATGATTGTATTAAAACGACGAGGAACAGGCAAGAAAACAAGAGAAATACATTTACTGTACAAGAATCCAGTTGTACTCAGTAACAGTAGTTCATAACTACGATGACAAATGCTGCTGCTCTAATGTAGACAGCATGTCGAAATTCCAAGTGGAATGTACTGTAATATAATAATTTGAGCTAAATCACACTTGTGGAATATTTGTACTTTTATGTATTCTATAATAAAATCACAGGATAATGCATTTCATATGTTCGTATGCACTTTTTAGGCTTGGGTATAAAAGGAGCATCCACTAACAATTTGACCCTTGGACAAGGATGAACTTTGACCCCACACTATCTGCAGACCTAACAAGAGAACTGTCTGTCAAAACAGAATGTTTCTCACGGAATTATAGAATAACATTTAGAGTCACCATATCACAATTTTTGACAATGGATTCTATAAATCCCAAAAAAAGGAAAAGGAAATCTGTATACAAAAATTAAGTTTTTTGTAACTATAGATATGTACCATTCTCAGAGGTTTGTTTTGTCATTTCTGAGTAATACTGTGTGTTTCTGTTAACATGTTTTTCCTCAGAACAAAGTGAGGCTTCATTCTGCAGGAATGACCAAAGTGTCTCCTTGCAGACACAGAATTAAGACGCTCCTCTGACCTTCCTGCAGTGCAGGTCTGTCTCCTTTTGGAAATATCTGGTAAAAAATGGAACACAAATGGAGTGACAGTGATGAGGTAAATATTAGGTAGACATGAATTGAAATTTAAAGAATGTATTCTTGCTGCAACTGCAACCAATGCTATCCTAATTTTCCAAACATCTCTAAATTAAAAACACAACATTTGTGGTAGTGGTAAACTTAAACCAACAGCTTTAGTTGGAATTTTAATTACCAACCCCCAAGGAAGACATTTCTGACCACAAAAACCCTTTTTCCAGTACCACTACTGTGTCCAGGGCCAGACCTTCGACATACCTGCTGGACGGTGACATCTGCTCTGAGGAGGAGAGCAGTCACACGGTGCTGGCAGCCTGACCTGCGTCCTTGTTGGGAGATTCCTTAGCATTCCTGGCAGCACTGCGGCTGTGACTGGGAGCTCTGTTTCAGCGCCCCTGCTACTGCCACCTAGCCCATGGGAGCGTCGCTGCACGGCTCACCAAATTCCACAGGTTCACTGTGAGATGACAGATCCTCAGGAGATCAAGGTCGAGCAGCAGAGGTGAATCCTGCAGCCTGCATGTCTCAACAATCACCTGTCTGTCTGCCAAGGTTTGTCTTCATTTGTATTTTATTATAACTCTTGGCAATTGCATGACTGCAGTGCAATAATACCTGAAACAAGACCTTTCTTGCTTGGCACCATAGGACCTGAGTGTATGAGCCAAATGTCTGATATGATGAACAGAAACAGTGGTTATTTGCAACTGGGCTATAAAAGAAAAAAAAAATCATCTACTTAGTTTCACTGTGTAATAAATCTTAACTTCCGTAATAGAGCTCTAATATTAAAACCTGTGGGGAGATGAGTCTGTAGTTCACTCTACTGAGACAGGATATTGTCTTAAACCTGCTGCTACATATAACCTGCTGCTACATATAACTGCTACAGTTTTTTTGTTTTGTTTTTTTTCTTCTTCAGACTGAAGAGTCCGGTCCATTTTCTGTCATAGACTAGAGTTCTTAATAAACAACAACAGGCAGAGGCAGCCAAGGAACAGTCATAGCCCTCAGACGTGTGTTGGACAACTCTGACTTTATCTGTTATAATTCTTTTTTTTTTCTTTTTCTTTTTTATGGATCCCCCTATTACTTTTAGCTGCCTGTAATTTACAGCAGGGAAAAATCAGTAACAGTACTGACAGAGTTGAAATGGAAACTATTTTTATTCTTTATTTCTGCTCTTTGTTACTAAAGGGTGAGGGAAATAATTTGATAAAATGAATGCAATAACAGAACTTTAGGTCACAGATAAACCACTGCTTTTGGTCGTTTTATTTCAACTTTACTGTAAAGACTGTAAAAAAACAACAACTGGACCTTGTGACGAGTACTACCTTTGTACCTGTACTTATATAAACACATGTAGCTGCAGCCTCCCCTAGAGGATCTCCATTCAAATTAATCTAATGACCTAATTCAGTAGATTAAAACAACATTAGCATTTCAGTCCTCAGTATCTTCTCCTACCTCGACCTTTTCACTGTGGTCCACCTGGTCCACCTGTGGGCCTCGAACCAGCTCTTGTGCACATCTGTTCATCTTCCACGTGTAAAGGCTTAATTCGATTAAATTGTGTCCCATCATTGTGCAGTGTCAGAAGTGAAAATACACATCAGAGTGTGAGGGTAACCTGTGGGTGAAGGGTTACATGTCAGACTCCCTCAGTGAGCAGACAGAGAGAGGGGGGCCGGGGGGCTGGGGGAGGGCGGGGCGCTGGGACGGGGAAGCCGGAGGAGAGTCTTCGTCCAGAGACTTTTATTCGTGACGCGCTGTCTGTGCAGCACGAAGTCAACAGACGTTTGGAGTTTTATTTGTATCTGCTTTAAGCGCGTATTGTAATTTGAAACAATTGTTTTTGTGAACGTCTTTTAAACACGACACTCTTTACTTTCACCGGACAGAGACAGAGACACGGACAGGGACAGGGACAGAGACAGAGACAGAGACAGAGACAGAGACAGAGACAGAGGAACAACCTGTTTGAGATGATGAAGAAAAACTGGGAACAAGTGATCCTGGAGGACTCGTCTGATGGAGAGTGAAGTTTGACTGGGATGTTTACCCGGATCATCCGCCTCTAACCAGGAGGTAATCCATTTGTGTATTTATACATTATAATACATTTAATGATTTGATGTTTTTATATAAAAGAATCACTGTGTTTGTATGGGTTCAGATTGTTGCTCTTGTTCTACAGCATCTTTAAATCAATCCTTCCCTGTGTGAATATGTTATTGATAAACACGTGTAGTTTTTCCACTGCTAAGAGATATTTTGGAAATAACGTCAATACAAATGTTCAAGATTCGGTTTGTGTCCCGTCGTCTCTGAAATGCCCCTCTGGTCAAAAGCAATAATTATCCCTATCCCTAGTCATGCTAGTTTAACAGATTAGTAGATTCTCCTCTAAAATAGAACTGAAAACCTCTGACTTTACACCCTACACTTTGCTGTCCCCCAGGGGAGATTCATCCTCACAGCATGTCTCAGCATTCACATGTACTGAGGTGAAAAATGGTGGAAAATGTTGTTCAGTGTTTCACTCACAACGTCCTTATAGAAGATTAAAAACTTTAGTTTTCTGTCAGGAAGGAGCAAAAATAAAAATAAAAACAACAAATTAAAACACTTGTGACAAACCAAAATATTGTCTTTATTAGTGAAAGAAAAAAAACCACAGGTTGGCGCTCAGGTCATGTTTGTGACTTTGTTGTCCAGTGTTGGTGGTGTAGCCCAGAACCATACCTGTCAATATATAATTGACATCATTGTCAGCTGCTGCTGTACACAGGCGTACTGTGTATACATATACATAATCCCCAACTTCTACCCTGAAATATTCACTGAGTACATTTTCTCAGCTTGTTGTGAATTATGTCAGCGTAATTTGCCAGATTTAGTCTTTAATCTGAAATTAATGTGCCATTTAATATGACATTTTGATTGATTCAATAAATAATGGATGAGGAGGCTTTGAGATAAAAAGGTTGATCAAAATCTGTTTCCTGATTCTCTGATCTGTCCAGTCTCCAGTCTGTGAACACCAGTGTGTTGCCGTTAAAAGACTCACTGGAACTTTTCACTTGTCCTGCCGGCGTCTGATTGATAGCGTTGGAGATTTAAGTCATAAAATATAGAAATGTTTTTGTTTTGACTCATGTGCTAGCCTACTGCAGATCCGCTAAATCTTCACTGACTCAAAAATGATCTGCTGAAGCTGGAGTCAAGTGTGTGCCAGATCTGTCAAATATTTAACACGTCAGCATCCACAAGAAAGTTGTACTTTCCCTTCTTACTGGGGCTCCTGTCTGTAATGCTGCCTCCTTGTAGTGTCACGTGGTACAGCACATAGGTGTGTGGCCAGGCCCCACCCTGTCCTTTGTTAACCATAATGCTCTGTTTTGCTGCCATGCCTTGACTTGTTTTTTTCCCCTCCTCTTTTTACACACCTGCTCTCTTTATGCCATGAGTGCCTCCAGGTTCGCAGCACTTAGAGGGGATCAAGTATCACTTTGTTGCTTCTAATCTGTCCTGAGATCCGCCAGTACTCTGTGAAGTAGTACAACTTCACTCCTATAAGTTTCAGCAAATATTTGATTTGAATCCTAGAGATGTATATATATATTACAATACAAAGCATATTGAAGTGACAACATTCCTCCCCCCCCCAAAAAAAGCCACAAACTCAGGGTGATCAGTAAGCTCAAGTTGTGATAAGGGAATAGTCCGACTTGTTGTCATGTTATGGAAACAATCTTTCTTTTATTTTATCCACACTGTTTTGTTGAGGATATGAGTCTTTACCATTAAGCCATTTATGCTACAATGGTACATAAAGGATATAAAGTCCTTTGTTGGGTCTGAAATCCTATTTTCCTGGTTAACCTATGACATAAGAACAAAAGGTTCATTGTTGCTTCAACACCACATCAACTTCAACCATGCATGACAACACTGAACCTTCAGGGTGACCGTACTGACTCACCTACTGTGGGCAGTGTGGTTTACACTTTGGCAGAGTTCAGATGAGTGAGTGATCAGTGTACAGTGCACGTCTTTGTCCCACGGCAGGTTCACCGAATGTGAAATGTCACTGTAGATACTTCACGTTACCTTTGAACTTTTAAAACCTGTAAAAATAAAAACGGCATAGACATTTCTTGTTTGCCTATTACATGCAAATAAAAGAAAATTCAGGATAAAAATGAGAGAAACTGAGAAAGAATTTTAAATCTACTGGAGAATGGGTTTCTTTACTGTCCGTATAATTATAAAGACTTTAAATGTTGCACAGCTTAAAGAAGCACAGGTTTCACCAACGTGCAGCTGTAAAAACTATAAATCAGCCAAAGAACATAAAAAAAGTGAATATGATAAATAACGTCTTTTGTTACCCAGAGATTTAGCATTGGTTTTATGGAACAACACGTAGCACTGTGTGAAACCACGTGGGGTTAACATCCCGTCTTACCGTTGCAGTGTTCTTCATCACCATGGTGATACAACGTGAGACCTCCCTCCTGACTCACCTGCTCCTGCTCCTCCAGCTTCTCCTGCCCCTCAGCCTTTCTCTCCTGCAGCCTCCTCATCCTTCACCGCTCCATGTCCCCACACTGGTCCCTCACACCCCGAGGCCTCTGGGCCGCTCTAGCTTCAGTGCTAACGCTCAGCTGGACTTCATCACTCACTGCAACTCCAGCTGCTTCCACAGGGCGGAGGAGGACGAGCAGCTGACGGAGAAGTTGGCGTTTGAGACCTTGTACGCAGACGGCTCCCGCACCCTGACTACTGTGGACGTGGAGGACGAGGAGGACTTGAAGGCTGATGCTCTTGTCTTTGCATACTCATCAGTTGGTAGAAAACCCAGACTGCGGCCCAGACACAAGCGCGTGAGGCGTCAGATCTATGGGTCAGACGGTCGCTTTAACATTCAGGGCAACAACTTCCTGATGGATTACCCCTTCTCTGCAGCAGTACGGATCTCCACAGGCTGCACTGGTGTTCTCGTGTCTCCGCTGCACATACTCACTGCTGCCCACTGCGTCCATGATGGAAAGGACTATGTGAAAGGAGCGAGAAAACTGAGGGTGGGCTTTCTGATCCCACCGTCGTTCAACAGCACAAAGGGCGACCTGACTTCTGCTAAGAAGTCTCTGGTGCGCTGGGTCAGGGTGAAACGCACTCGTGTTCCCAAAGGCTGGATCCAGGGTCCTCAGGAGGTCAGTATGGACTTTGACTACGCCCTGCTGGAGCTACGCTGGCCTCACCGAAGGCCCTTCATGCGCCTCTCAGTGGCGCCCTCATCTGACGGCCTGGCAGGGAACCGTATCCACTTCTCTGGTTTTGACAGTGACAGACCTGGAGAGCTGGTGTACAGGTTTTGTCCTGTGGAAGAAGAGTCCAGTGATCTGATTTACCAGCACTGCGATGCCAGGCCAGGAGCCAGCGGCTCTGGAGTGTATGGAAGAGTTTGGGACAACACTCTGGAGCGTTGGGAACGCAAAGTCATCGGCATATTCTCTGGACACCAGTGGCTGGAGATAGATGGAGAGAATCGGGATTACAACGTGGCTGTGCGCATCACACCTCTGAAGTTTGCCCAGATCTGTTACTGGGTGCACGGAAACCGACTGGACTGTGTCCAGGACTGAGGACCAACCTGCGAAGAACAGAAATTTGTCAAAGCTGAGCATGAAACTACTAGAAAACACATAGTGACTTTCTTCAAAATTAGTTCTTTCACCTTAAGTGTTCAAGAATCTGGATGTAATCCATGCAAACATGTCAGCCCTCAGTAAAGAGACACGCTGATAGTCGATATTAAGAATGAACACAACCAGGACATAACCTATCTCTATAAACTCTGACACCAAGATATCTCATTTAAGATACTGTCCACCTTTAACGGGAGCCACAGTATAATCCGTATATTTCAAATGAAAATAATGCAAAGTGGTTGTACAAGTATAAAAAACCCAAATGAAACAGTCTGTAAAACAGCTTTTGTGAATTTGTTTACAGCCCAAAGCACTTGACTTGTCAACCATTGCCTAGTCTTTTCTATATAAAGTCTTCAAATCAGTAGAATTTTGAGGGCAGGAGTCACTCTTTTGTTGTATTCCTGTAGTATAAAAAAAACCCCCAAAACATATCCTCAGCTTCCTGGCAGACACTGCTAACCCTTTACACTACAAAACATACATAAACATACATGTTTAAGTTTGAAGTTTTTGCAGGGTTTAGCCATATCAAAAGTATCCTTCCTTATTTTACATTTTATAAAATACATTAGCTTCTTTCTAATTAAATGTCATCTGTCATTGTTTATTTATTTTTAATGGCATATTTTAAAATAACATCCCCAAATTCTCCTGTCCCCTAAATTCCATCTTTTGCCATTTTTATTCCACGTGCTTTGGACAGTATTTAAGCAACTTCGAAAATGTTGTCTGTGACATCACCTCACTTGTCAATCTTTGAAAACGCGTTTTAGTTTTTCCTCAGCTCGACACAAACCTCTATAGATAAAAGTTTTCATTTATTTTTGCAGTGCAGGTTAGAATGGGCTTGTTTTTGTGCAGCTACTGGTTGTGAGGACATGTCTTTTGCCGCCCTTGCTGGACATTTGAAGTGACTGCTCTGACACAGTAATACAGCTTCAGCTATGGTCTGCTGATACAGTACGGTAGATTTGCCGTTATCAGAAACAGTGACAGCAGTTGATTATTAAAAACCACTGACGCCTAAAATCTCAGCAATATGCAGCGTTAACTGGAGAGAGAGTTTTAATTTTATTTTTAATAAAATGCCAGACATATTTTAATAAAGAGAGATTTATAGGTGTTTTATTGTGTCGTGGTGTCTGTTTTCGGAAACGCTACCGTGTTTCCCTCTTGTGACTAAAATGGGTACTGCAACATTAATTGGGCCTGCTACAGGGACAAAACGTTACATTGTAGTGACAATATACGTTATATTGTCAATTTGAGATCTGTTCAAAACTACAATTATTCTCATATTGATTAGATTTTTAGCTTGAGAAGATGAAATGACTTTACCTAACTAGAGAATTGTCCACATATTTTAATTACGATAGATAAAGAGATAGCACTTTATTAAGATGTTATGATGGAGTATTGTGGCCATATTGAGAACAAAAATACATTAAAAATGCTAAAAGTTGTAAGTTTAGGAGAACAAAGTTTATGTGAATGAAGTCGTATGTTTACAAGAATAAAGAGATAAGCACGTGAGAATAGAATTGTGCATTTATTAGATTAGCTGACGTGTTTTGGGGACACGAGCGAAGCAAACAGAATTAACCACTTGTGCATCAGATTGAGACATGTAGAGGAAAAAACTTTTTAAAATATCTTTAATTTTTTCAGTAAAATCCTAATTTCGTATGTCATGGTCAGACGGTGAAATATATTGATGAAAGTTTCTGGAAAAACAAATTTTAAAATGTTATCATTTCTACATGTTTCTCATCAAATAATACAACTTTAGGATTTTTTTCTTAATTTTTCAGAGAAATCCTAATTTTATGTGTCATATTGACAGATGATAAAACATTTTGATGAAAGTTTTTTAGGGGAAAAAATCTAAATATCTTTTCTGCATGTTTATCACGAAATTAGAGCATTTTGAGGTTTTAGAAAAAAAATTTGGAGGAATTTTTGATAAAATCTCAATTTTACGTGTCATTTAATCAGGTGTAGAAAAAAACTTTTATTTTTTCTGCATCAGAGCATTTTGAGAAATTGTTTGAAATTTTTTTTTGGTAAAATCCAAATTTTTGCGCATATCTTGTGGTGAACATTTCTGGGACTTTTTATTATTTTCACTTTTTCAGGATGGTAAGGCTATAGTAAGGCATGTTTTGGGTGATTTTTGAAATATTCATATAAAATACTTTTTGGACTTTTAAACATAAAATAATCACTTGGCAGCATGTTTGAGGACCTAATCTTGCATTTTAGTGCATTTCAGGGACTTTTTATTTTTATGGATATTTTCACGATGGTAAGGCTATAGTAAGGCATGTTTTGGGTGATTTTTGAAATATTCATATAAAATACTTTTTGGACTTTTAAACACAAAATAATCACTTGGCAGCATGTTTTAGGACCTAATCTTGCATCTTAAGGCATTTCGGGGACTTTTTATTTTTATGGATATTTTCACGATGGTAAGGCTATAGTAAGGCATGTTTTGGGTGATTTTTGAAATATTCATATAAAATACTTTTTGGACTTTTAAACACAAAATATTCACCTGGCAGCATGATTTAGGCAAGTGCTTTTAAATTAAAACGGAACTCTTGTTTTTCAAACAAACATTTGGTCGAGCGTGTGTGGATGTCACGAGGAGAAAGATAACTTGACACAAACTTTTCACGTTTAAACTACATAATGACCATTTTATGTTATGTTAGCCATTTTATGGACACTAGTGCGTTATTTTTTTTTTCTCGATAAACTTTTTTTTGCGTCAAGTTAACCTGCTAGCGTGTGTTTAGTGCTGCGGTCTAGGGTTTTCATATCTGTAGACACTCAATGCACAGCGGAGGCTCGTCCGGAAAACACAAATGTTT